TTTGCTGCATGATCCAGTCCACCACAATCAGGAATATCATGGGGGATAGTAGGCAACCTTGTTTCACTGCTGTCTTCACTTCACTTCAAAAGCATCACTGAGCTGAGCTTCCCATTGTGAATTACTTGGCCGGCATGTGGCATCTTCATATAGTTGTTGAATGAGGCGGATAAAGGTTTGCGGTATTCCGTAGTAATGAAGCAGTTTCCAAATTACTTCTCGGTCGACGCTGTCAAAGGCCTTCTCAAAGTCGATGAAGTTAAGGCAGAGAGCTGACTGCCATTCTATGCTCTGTGTGTTCCCATATGAGTGTGTAATTCATCCCTTATTATTCTCTTCAAAACGTTCACCAGTATGCGAGCTATATTGATGAGGTGATAGTTGGTAACTAGTCTACTAGCCTACTGTCATCCTTGCAAATGGGGTATAGCTAATGTTTTTCTAGTTTATGATTGACCAAGCCTGTGATACAGACAAATTAAATATTTCTGTGAGCCGGTCCTGAATAATGTCTGGTGATCAGGAAATTCCGTATCCTCAGTGTTATATCAGGTTGGGAAGTGGAGACTGTGAATGTCGGATAGGTGTCATTAGCCATGTTGTTTTATTTAAAAGTTGTTTTACTTGATTAATAACATTATTGAGTAGTTAGCTACCTTCACCAGCTTTCGATCGACGCATGATGCATTTATGCATGGCTTATGTTTCGGGAATGACAATGTGTTGAGTGGAACTCACTGCTGTGGAGTATCCAGTATTTCGTGCTACAAATCGGTTGTTTTATCTGCGTTATGTTGAAAGAGGTTGGGAGGGTCGAATTCGGAAAATGTCTTCGATTGCTTGGTGTAAGCGCGTTTATCACTCTTGCAATTCATTCACTCTAAAGATGGAAATATTGGATTACACTTCGTATACTCTCATGGCTAGGATTCCTCAAAATAACCCTTCTAATGAACGAATCGAGGGAGAATGGAACGTCTGCATGAAATATATGAAGGAAGGTGAGGTGACGTGAATATACGTTGTTGATAAGTAGTGGAGCAGTGAACAGTTACTTCATCACAGATGATGACTTTTCAGATATAAACACCTTCGAGGCATTCTGACAATGAATCGGGAACTAATACAATTCCGGTGACATTTCTGGAAGTATGTTATAGGTAGATTGACACTAAATATGTACAAGGAATGCTAATTGTATAACTGGTAGTATTTCAAGTAAAACTAACACCTCTGATCGCTACAACACTTGCCATTGTAAGTGAACAAAAGCCTATTCTGTGTACAGTGATGATTGTGAAACGTAAGTTTAGAAACCTTTCTACTAGTGGAAGGAAGGTTTAGTTGTTGTGGCGACGAAATCAACATAGTGGATTGCAAAATAGTATTGTGAATGGAAGATGTCTACGAACTATTATCCTTCACTCGATGACACTAAAACGTCTGAGCTTCAATACTGACTACTGAATAGTAGTATGATTCAGTTGTAAACTATTTTGGTGGACAAAACATCTCACGCAACTGACACACACACAAAAATGTACATTGACATGTCAATTGAGACCTATCAGCTAAGAAGATGTATTTAAAGTCGATAAACGACAAAGTGATTAGGATAATAATTTATTGCTAATTTGCATGGTAACCTGATCTAACGAGTGTCTGAGGTGATATTTGAGAGATGTAGACCTCTCCTCGAAAATCTGTTTCTTCTAAATCTCACGTTTAATATGCACAAAATATTCCTATATGTTATCACATGAAAATAAAAATGAGTAGAATGAATTCTGATAGAAACTTTATTGTCTGACTGGTGGAGTGACCGAATGGTCTATTCTAAACACAACGGTCTCATTCGACTGATATTAGAGGAGAGAAAGAACAACTCGGTGACAAGTGCATATCATTACTATAAGATAGATGATCACTTGAGCCATTATGAGATGACATTGTGAAAAGTATTGATGTTGACCTGGTTTATCCACTCAACTCACTACATATTCTGTACTGTAGAACTACATGACACATAGAACAGAGCTATTATTAGTCACCTGTTTGTTTGATGTTATGTAGCCCACCTGACATGACTTCACTGTGAATAGCTTCCCATTACTCATCCCGTTCAGAAAAGCTATTCATTCATGGATTTCCTAAACCCATGAAGTGAAATTCATGTCCGAAATCAATGGGTCTTCTTTAATTTGCTTGATGAGTTTACCTGGATGGTTTTATGCTTCGTTTAGGGAAGCATTCTGTTTTACACCAGTTGGATACACTTTCAGCATGGGATTCACTGGTGAAGATGAAGAGTGACCTTAAATGGAGTATACATGTGGGATAAATGGTAATACCCCAGTTGGCAATTGGATATGGCACATCTGTATATTATATTCTGAATGGTGCAAGGGATTTGTGTCAGTGTGTAAGATAGCAGTTATTCTACTCTTGGTGATTTTCAGTTGCTGTGTGGTGTAGGGATCAGTGGCATCGAAGGACAGTCGATTGGTCATTATGGGTAGGAATACTCTTCCTATCAGGAAGCTGTGCTGCAGAACTGGTACAGTAATCACTTGACTGCACCAAACATTTTAGTTTTCTGAAGAGTTCTTGAGACAAATTATCTGGTGGAGATGCCGGAGATGAGACAATTAGTAGTAAGTATATGTTTGATCTGTCTATTTTCGGTGTACTGTAGAAACTTGGAGGGACGGGTTTGTTGGATTTCATTTACCACTGTTTTGTTGTTTGTCTAACTTTGACAAACTTCTTTAAATTTTTAGTGATCTTGGAGTGGAATGTCAGATTTGTATTGATTGTTTGATGCACACTTCATTCTATGAGCGAAACTCCAGCCACATAAATGTGCTCGTCTTTGTTATTTGATAGTTTTAATCTATCGTTTTTATACTGAGTCAAACATTTCTGTCTCTGTTGGTAGATGGGCTCCTATGCGAATGCCTCGGAATAGCCTGATTACTGTGTAATGTTGAATAGAAGACGCTTAGTGGTTCACATAGTTATCAATGTGACATGGAAAGGAGTAAGTCATTTATATGAAGAAGAAGTAGTGAAATAAGAAATGGGTTAATTTATATTCCATAAATTAGGTTCGCTTAATAAATTTCTGGTGGCGAATCCAGTTAGCTATCTGATATATTGTGATTAGATGTGTGAGCGGATGCTTAAACAACGACCTTCATATCTCACCCTTGATAGTCACTCAGTTCGTCGGTGAATAGAAAAGGCGGTAAGGTAACAAAATGTGTAGTACAACGTCGAAATATGCACAAAACACAACAGTTTATATATGTTGACAATGACCTTGACTATTTCAACACCTTTCCAGGAGATATTTACACGTAGGTTCACGTACTATTTCACAAAACTACGAAGCAACATGTGAAATGGTTTAAGGATTAAACGGTTTTTCTAATGATCTGGGTAGTTTTATGTTGGAATGATGAAGTACTTGAGAACATGATTATACGACTTCCTAATTGATGATAATTATTCAGAAGTCGAGGAAATGCATAATACTAGTAGCTTTCCATGAACTTTGCTCACTATCTCATCCTAATTTCATCGGTGTCCATCAAAGCAAAGAATGTTCACACTTTTGATTAATAAAAGTCTACTATTCAATATATTCTGTGATAGAATTTCGTCTTTGATAAGCGTGAACTATGTAATTTGCCAGCTTATTGTGGGTTTTAGAGAACTATATTTCTGGTTATTTCATCAGTTACCTGGATGTTGGATATGCTAGCCGATAACTATTCAGCAGATTCTATACCGAGAATATGCAGTTAAGTGTGAATTCACATTCATATACTCTTATCATCTTGAATGACTGAATATGGTTAATCATGGAGTGATAGAGAGATGTCATTAACCGAAGGGTACTTTGATTTTCCAGCTATTTTCATTTTCAACAATGATTATAATATCATTAGTAGAGTATGGTTCATTGAGGAGAAGCTTCTTGAAACACATGTCGCCTACACTCAGATGTTTTGATTAGTTATTCTTGTTGAAATCCTGCTCAGTGTACACTTATACAATACTTAACAGATAAATTTGCGATTAAGAATAAAACGATTTAGCATATTTCTTCACTTCTGAGGGAAGGAAGATAAACAACTTCAAGTTACTGCCTGACACATTTGTGAACAGTTTAATAACTAATGAAGAGAGATGAGCAGCTACTCGTTATATGAATTATGATCAAGATTTGACTGGATAGTAGCACGAAAATTAAGCATCGAGTTAAAAGTTGACACTAGATATGGACTATATATTTGTAAAAGTTATGGTGTGTTTATTCATATATAACCTATATCAAGTGATAAGTAAGCTATTCCACTATCAAAGTGTCAGGGATCTGTGCTATCTCATTGTTGGATTACAGGATATCTACTTGTAGGAATCTAGTTATTGTGTGGCTTCGATTCACATTGTTACGAGAAGCCTAATGCAGTTAATACATTTGTGATTGAAGTTGTTGTTCATCTCAGATTGGCATATGGTGAAAAACCACTGAAGATGTGAGAACACTGGACAACCGTTTCGTCCTATTGTGGGACTGATCAGCAGTTCCCACTCGTGATTCCACAGTCAGCACGTTGTCATTGAGCTACTCAGTTGAAATCCAATGGACCTCAGTTTTCCACTTCTGCCAGTTCGCTATATAGTGTGACTTTCGTCCAATTCCGTCATTCATTAACTATCCTCACGTCCACCGGTCATGACTTCTCCCTGCAATTTAGAATCACCAGAATTCATCCCCCTTTTACTATCCACCAGTTTATCAACGACAGCGACAACAATAGCAGTCGTCTAATTTATACTATCACAAGCAACTTGATCAAAACATCGCCTTTCATATTCACAACGATATTTGTTTGTACTTTGTTCTAGAGACTGTTGTGAGTGCCAAGTGATTCACCTACATAACTGAACACCAAGTATCAATTGAAAAGTGAAGAAAGGTGTTTAGAGTTATCAGGTATTTTATTAGTGCAATTAATTTATTTCATTGACTGCCTGTCGCCTCCGAGAGATTTAGGTAGACCCCTCAGAAAAAAACGGAGAGTGTCCGCGTAATGTAAACAAAAGCTCTTCCTATTCATGGTAAATAAGAGGAAAGTGTATTGATTAATAATGTGAAGTAGATGTCAAGTTAAAGAGGGAAACAAAAGGAGTGTTGCATATTGACAGGTGTCTCTGGTTTCAGACAACACTATGAGTTTCATCGTGAAATGAATCAAGTGTAGGCCATCAATTTCGAAAGAAATATCTAACAACACTACTGCAGAGTATTCTACAGATATTTCACTCCCAATAATTTAGAAATCAAACAAGGGAGGTTCGAATGCATAAGTTTGAAGAGAAGAACTCTCCGCTTCTCAACTTCTGAATGTATTGACCAGATAAGACACATTAACTGATCACTCACAAGTACATGATTTCATACTTTCCAATCATGAGTGTTGACTGAGTTCTACCGATCATATTCTTTTGTGTTTACTCAGCTGAAAAGCTAACCCTGACAGTTGACTCTGATTTCAGGTGGGAGGCAGGAAGTGCCACTTGGTCAGAGTCATTCCTGCTTCGTGACCAGATTGTAGAATGATCCAGAGAAGTTGATCAGCACTTGAAACTAGTCAACATAAAATTGGTCATTGGCAATCGAACGGAAAATGAAGAGAAGACACTTCCAATTCTACATTTATCGTGATGACTTGGGAGGCACTATGCCTCATTTTCTCACCACACTCCTGACGATTTGATTATCGTTCAATCGACGATGTATCCGATGTCTCGAAAAAGTCTGTTTTCAAGTTCTCGATTCGCTTGTGTCATTATTATTTACATTGTTGGTGTAATCATAGCTTGAATGTTGCTGGAAACTACTGTCCTAATGATAATGTCTATTCGATGTGACTGAATGGAATCCCAAGACTCAACCGGAAATTAATCTCCAAACTTAAAAAGCTTACCGAAACATCAGTGAGTGAGGACAGTCATTTATATAGGTAGCATTGTGAGCAGAGTAAAACTAGTTATCATGTAATCTTCATATAATCATATAGTCATTGACGGATAAATATAGGAGTTAATAGACACTGAGTCAATTCGCGTAGCTACATTTCTATTTGCTGTAACATGAAGAAGATAAATGTTCACTAGTTTTCCCTCTTTTATATATGTATATATGTATATATATCAACGGGAGAAACTTAGAGGAAGTAGTCTGTTTCACCCATCTGGGCGGCATTGGTTCAACTACAGGCAGCACAGGCACAGACGAGGACGTCAAAACCAGTCAGGATCGGAAATACAGCAAGACAGGCCTTCCTGCATTAACCTGAAATCAGTGAGGAGATCTTCTGCACTCAGCATAAACCGTGAACAATATCCGGATTGTCAACACCAACATCAAGTCAAGTCAGTGCTTCTATGTGATGGTTGAGAGACTTGGCGCATTACGAAAGTCATTTTTAACAAACTACAGATATTCATCAACAACTGCGTATGCTGTCTCGTTACTGAAGCTGAGATCAGAAGGCCAGAATGATAAGGATAAGCATTAAGGAACTCAGGCTGGCTGGTGATGAACCAACCAAGAATTTATCGCTCTACAAATATGCAGAGGAAGAAATTGGAGATGAATTTGGCACGCATTGACAAGACCATTCGAGGACATCACGCGCCACGACCTCGAGTGAGACACACGTTTGAAATGGCGACCTGGGCATCCGAGGTGAGGGTGACATGGAGGAGATGGTGTGAGGAAGAAGTGAGAGCTTGTGGGCAGTGCTGCAGCGAAGTTAAAAATATTATAGAGGAGAGAGTGCAATGGAGACGCACTACTGAATACCTAGGTTCCACTAGGAACACAAGGGTCAGATAATAATACATAGAATTATCTTCAGTGGATACACATTAAGAGTGAAGTGTATGTTTTGTCTATCTTGACAGAGGTGTTCAACTGAACTCAGTTCATTCCACTTTCCAAATCTTAAACTTCTCACTTCTCAAGTGAGTCAAGAAACCGTTGTGTGTGGATGCATCGTTTCATTCAATTTCATAAACATTAGCTTAAACGAGCCTAACTCAGTCATGAAAAAACTAATAAAATATAATTTATCAAAGAAACTCTTCGCTGCTACAAATCATTTCACCAGATCGTATATTCCTAGCTATAGTTACAACGAGGAAATATGTTAATGAACAGCTACTAGTTCAGTCCAGTGATGTCAAAGGATGGTTTCAAAAGTTACAGGATTATTATGGCTGGAAGGCATTAGTAAGTCAAGTTGGTATTGATCATGGACTGACATTGGTTGGAGGAACATTGGTGGGGTCATGAGTGGGCACTGCTGGCAGGAAACAACTGTCCATTGCTACCAAGTTGTTTTTGTAATGTCCCCCCAACTGATATCAGTGCATGATAATAACCAACTTGAAATATCTCTAAATCCCCACACAAACACAAATTCAATTGGTGAATAATTTCACGGAATTGGGTGGTGATTGAGGAATAGTTTAGACAGTATGAGAAGTGGTAAAAGGTGGGGAGGTTATAGGGAAATCAAAATTAACAACTTCAGAGTGAGGAAAGGAGGATGAAAATGATACTTGATTTAGAGGAACGTGATGCCTACAAACCTCCAGAAAAGAACTCCTACGCTTCCAAGGAAGACACTACGCATAAACACTGGGTTTATAGCAGATATAATGGCTTAGATACTCAGAAATCGACTGCAAAAGCACTGAAGAAAACTCTATCCGCTCAACTCCAGATGACTTCTCCAGTCGACAACTGGTCAGAGAGAATGTTGAGGGTAAACTGATGCTTCAGACTACCTCCATGTGTGCTTACTGTTTCACCTGTCACTGTTGAACTGATCAAATAAGCTGCACAATGCACACTCTGTTTCAACGCATCTCCAAACACTATCGTGTATGGCTATTTAGAGTATACTGGAAATCTCAGTCATCGGGGTTTTGAACAAGTTTTTACTCTGTTCAGTTCATTCAACTTCACCAGAATGTTCGTCAATAAGAAAGCAAACTCAAAGATTTCAAACAGAGTTTGAACTCTCATTTACAACTGAACAGTTCAAACCTGATATCTTTTCCATACTCTGTAACTGTTTATTTCAGTATGACTGTTCCACTTCTCCCACCTCTTTCATTGGTTTATAGATTGTTATGAAATCACCTTGTAATTGTAGAAGCGATTTGATGATACATTCTGAGACATGCCTTCAGTTGACTTTCCAGTCGCTTCCGCTAATCCTAGAAATAATCTTTCAATGACTCTGTGTTTACCTCTTAGCCAGCCAGCGATGAACAGAGATTCTCGCTGCAACTATAACTACGAATATGCAGCCAGGGAGAATGGTTAGTCATGGTGAAAATCTCCCCCATTGAATTTCTACTTTAAAATAGCTATCTATCATCATAGACTACTAAAATTGGTTTGGAGAACCATTGAAAACCTGGAAGTATTGAAGATTTGTTTCATCGTCTCTTGTGACTTCTCAGCAGCACATACACATAACCTCATAGAGAGAGTCTCGTGGAAGTGTGTTGACATCCAGTCAATGGATCGAAATTCAACAGCCCACGTTTTCCCATTTCTGAGGATCTCTTGTATAGGGGGACAAACTTCCAGTGTCAGTGATCACTGTTCGTCCTCTCAACTTGACTTACTTTCAGTTTGAACAGGTGCAGAGTTTTCAGGAGAAATGTCTTGCAGTTCAAAATCCAATCACGTCATATAGCACAAGAGATTTGATCACTAATAATTACCAGGTTAGATGAAGAGACATTAACTGGATTATGAGTACTGCGTATGAATGAGTGACACTGTAGTCTTCAAATGCATGTTCATATCCTCAGCAAGCAAATTCATGTGCCCCAAATTTCGCATTTCAAATAATGCCGATTAATTAAGGAATTTTCTCATCATTAGGTAGCTGATGTTGTTGTATATTAGGTGCTACTCAGCACTGAACGACTTCTGTCGATCAAGTTTCCAGTGTGGTCACTAAGCTGAGCGATGCGACACAGTGGTGCAGTTCACTTCGGTGTTGGATGTCGACAGTTGACCGACAGTGAGCCAGCCACTGATGTTGGTCTTGTACTTGATTGATGAGCCTTGATCAGAACTGAAGACGAAGGAATAGACAGGTGAACCGATTACCCACTAGTGGAAAATTCACTTGATTAATCCAATCCTACAGGTGGTGGTCATTCGAGCCTGAATACACGTTGGCTGTGAAGTTTCTAGCTTGAAGAGTGTGGGACCGTGACTCGAGTCTTCGGAAGTAAGACAGGCACGCCAGTTCTCTTATGCGTACAGATAGATGGGCCTTGTAGCTGGGTGCTAACAAGCAGTAAATCTGGGTGGAACAGAGTTTCCGGATGATTAAATACAAATATCTAGCACAAAATCGTAGTTAGTATTTGAAATTATGCACGGTGTACTTTTCCCTAAATGTAGTGACTAACATGTAATTCAGTTTGAAGTTTACAGAGATTGGCTTGTCTGAAAGTAGCAATGAAACCGGATGCCCAACAACAACAACAACAACAACAACAACAACAAAACTGGGTGATAGTAGTGTCATATTACAAATTGACAGAGGTTTGAATAAGTGAACTGTTGTTTTCTGACCCAGTGGCTAAATGGTGGCGTGTGCTCATGAAATCTAACAGTCTCAGGTTCAATCTCACGGAGTTGTGAGTTTGTATCACTGACTGGTCTGAAACTGGAACGAATCAACTGTTCTATACAGTACTCTGAGATTTTTAATAATTCTCCAAATGATTTCAGCCAGTCATGAAAAATTATGCATGAAATTATGCATGTGTAGTCAAAAGACTTTTTACTTACCAGATGCTTACAAGGAATGATCTGGGCATTGAAAAGTAAAGGAAAAAAATATTTTTTTGAAATTATCTTCATTGAAAAGAAGTGTTGAGGAACAACGTTGAATTATAGACTGATTTTAAAGTGTGGTGATCATGACTAGAGTTGAAAAGTTAATTTGTGTTAAGGATTGAAAGCAGTGACGAGCGAAGTGAGCAGTGAAGTTCAACTGCTTCTGAGGTATCACTTGTCATGTAAAACTGTCTATTCTATGTGTGAGGAAGTGAATAGTCGAGTGTCCTATTGTTAATACCAAACAAGTTGAATTTCATGCTGTATGGAGGTGTATTTAACCTCACCTGGTTAACTAGTTCACTAGTTACTAGCTGGTTGTAATCCCTGGATAAGAAGGAAGGTTGGACGTATGTATGTCTGGCAACCCTACCCCTTAAAACCAATCGAGTGGCTAAAGAAATTTCTCAGCACAACGAATGATGCTGCTGTCCACCGCAAGGAAAATACTGTGCTGCATCATCATGGAGAGACTAAAGGATGTGCTGGAGTCGAAACTACCACCGGAACAAGGTGGTTGACTGGATTCAGGAAGAACAAATCATGTGTGTATCAAATCGCAACACTACACTACACTACACTACGCTGTGCATCATCATAGAATAGAGTAAAGAGTGTCAGTCAACTCAACTGTCTACATCAACTTCATCGACTTCGAAAAGGCCTTCATTTGACAGCATCGACCGAGAAGTAATTTGGCAGTTGCTTCAACACAGTGCCACTAGTGCCACTAGTCTTTATCAACCTCATTCAACAACTATATGAAGACACCACATGCTGAGTAATCCACAGTGGGAAGCTCAGCAATGCTTTTGAAGTGAAAACTGTAAGGAGTAAGACAAGGCTGCTGTCTACGATCATCCATGATCTTCGTGATTGTGGTCGACTTGACTGGATTATACAGCAAACCGTGAGGAGTTGTGAGAAGATGGGCATGCACTGGCTGGACCAATGAAAAGACCTCGAAAGATGATTTGGATTTGGCCAACCATGACAATTCATGTGAAATATCTTACCACACAAACTCGAAGATGTACAGGTGACAATTAACAAGTTGAGAGAAGAGGTGAGGCAGGGCAGCAAGAACAGGACTGCAAGTGAATGTGGAGAAGATGGAGGTGATGAAAATGGCCAACAAAATCACCGACAACAACAACAAGCGCCAGTCAACATCAACGGGAGAAACCTGAAGGAAGTAGTAGAATGAAAGATCGAAGACAATCAGATATCTTTCATGAAGGACTCTCACTGTCAAAAATTTGAATATGAAGTCATTTTTGTGTGGAAAACCTATTCAGTCAACAAAATTTACCGGTGTCGGTTGAGGAGTGCGACGTCTATCCAACCCATGAATGCATAACATACTTAATGTACAGTGGTTTTCTAATTAACTCGGAAGACCTTCCCAAAAGTTTAGTTGCATTGAGAAGACTATGGATTTCAACAAATGTCTTCATGCTCAACATAAACATGTTGAATTCTAATGCAGTGGTAACGTGCTGGCCGTGAAACGTGAAGGTCCCGTTTGCACAATACTGAGAACTCCCGTATTAGGATGAGAGAGTTGTTCAGTACTTCTAGGTTTCTGATGCTTCTACAACTGATTTCCGTCTGTAATGTAGACTACCTTTGATTCTAATACATTTAGCCCACACACGATAAGTTTGTAAAAAACCATGGTAGACCGACAAACTATTATCTACACATTACTTATCATCATCTGCGAACACTACAGGTGTCTACTACAACTTACGCAATACTCGTTTGTAAATGTTGAGCTTGATGACAATTTGATGAAAACTTTCAGGAAGTTAAATCACATGAATTTCGTATGAGTTTGTTCAGTGCAGCAGTTTCCTTTCAATATATATACAGTGAAAAGTGAAAAGTGAGGCAGGGCATTTCTAAAGAGATTCAATGTGGAATGAATAAGCGAATGGACATTACAATTGAATTTCCATCTACACAAAACATAACTCAGTCAACTCTCTCCATTGTCAGATGATGGAAGGATTTTCGTACACGAGATCCCACTGAAGTAGGACTAATCTTCCAGTGACTTGTCTTCATCAGTCGATTTATGGACAGAAATGTGTCAAAGTGAGTCAGGTAACCCTCCATGCATTTCGTTTTTAAAAACATTCTACGCAGAAATTTAAACTTCACAGGTGATGGAGTGAGTATCTTACTCACTGAAATACCATTGGTTGAGAACAATTGAAAGTATGCTCTTTACAAGTTGAAGAAGACACCACTAACAAACACTAGGTGGTTATTTGAGTTTATTAGTGAAACTTTTAAAAAGAAAATTTTCACTGAGACAGTGAACGATAATCTGTCAAAACAAATGGTTGAAATGTTAGAAAGGAACATTGTAGAATATTTCGAGTGATCTACAGTTATACTTCAGTTACCTGACATCCACCTGAAACTTGAAGGGGATGTAGGTACTGGTCGTCCATCTTTACTCACACTTATCAGGGTTGCTTCCAACCTCAAATGTTGCAGAGCAGCAGAATTTGATGGTGTGTCACCAGAAGTCTTCACGAAGGCTCAACGACAAGATCAAGATGCAGTAAGCAGTCGATGAAGTCTGTGACTGCTGGTTTTAGCCATATGGGGAGGTGTACGCTATGTGGCTTGTGTCCTCAAGATGACAGAAATCAATAATAGGAGACTCTTACTGATATACCTCAAGGCGGATGACAAAGATGTAGATCAATACACCTTTTGTTATCTGTTTATCTTCGTGAAAAACATAGTTGAAGCTCGAATTCTGTAGGCTATTATCTGTATGCTTAAAAGGTATGTCGAATATCTGTTGTGAGCAGCAAGTGTCATCAAAGTGAATGATGTAGTATGTGTTAGGATGGTTTTATCGTGATGAGAGGAGGGTGATGTTCAACTGAATCTGTTCAGCTAGTGAGTGATATCTAGATTATTTATATTGCTTCGTCTCATCTTCCTAACATATTCTGTTTTTATAAAACAAGCATGCTTCATTCGAAAAGGTTATTCTGATTGCATAATACTTGAATGATGGGTAGTGGTTATCCATCAACAATCTGAAAGTGAAATTCAGGCATCCGGGCTGGATACCATACGCCGATAGAGACCAATCATCTCGGTGCAATCAACGACGCGAAAATACAAGCAACATCACATAATACTTTCTACTGTTCATGTTCCCTTAAACTACTCGGCATTTTAAGTAGCATATTGATGGGAAATTCAGCAAATACAAAATGAATTTCGAAGCATCTGTGTACAGGAGGTGCTACTGACTTCTCAATATACTTGGAGAAAGTCTTTCACCTACATGATGATAGGTCTGTCTCTATGATGGAAAGGTCAATCATTTCATCTGTACTGTTTGCAAATCAACTTACCGGAGATTAAATACAACTGAAAATATTTAGAGAGAGAATTTATTAAGAATGTGTAGGTGAAGACTGAAATCCAAGTAAAGAAGAGATTGAGTATTGGACAGTCAATCGTGTGAGTATTGTTCTGCATTCCGTTTAGGGAGTGTAATGTCACTAGTGGTGTGATGGGAGCTACTTATGAGGATGGATATAAGCAGTGTATATAGGAGGGTGGGAAGTGATAAGGATGGATGAGTGATGTATTATGTAGAAGCCGAGTGGATAACGCTTTGGCGTTTGAAGCGACGGCTGCCTATGAGGTTTGAGTCTCGGAGGGAACAACATGACTCACTGGTGTGCAGGTAAATCCAACTGACGAGTCTGAAATAGGAAGAGACGCACGTCCTGGATTCCACTGCTACCCTCAGCTGAACAGCTGAAATGTAAACTGATGAATACAGCAGGCAGCAGATACAATGAATTTCTTATACAAACATCAGATACAGCAAAGTCAGCTGCCTTCAACAAGTCCAGAAACAGTCAAATCAAAAAGTTCTACAAGTCAATACAAGAAACATATTCCTGGGAAAATGATCAACTCACAAATGTCACATCATCAAACATCAATGGAGCAAAGTGGGTAGTCAATCTCTCCTCAAGAAGCTCCTCCTAAGCTCAGCTGAGACGAACGTACTCGAAAAAGGAGTCAACTTCAAGGTGACAATAGGTCATCTGAAACCAGATGTCATACATGGCATAGAAACAGTGTTAAACATGGTGGATACAGCAAATGCTCAACAGGTTAGAGCACAGTTTGGTGCTAACACTGAAGAGACGAAAGAGGAGACAACTAAACTTAACAAAACTTGAAAATTCAACTCTGGATAATCTACGGAATGGCAATAATACGGTAATTGTTAAGTCTGATAAAGGCAATGCAGCAGTAGTTATGGACAAACTGAATTACTTCAACAAAATTGACGAACATATCCGAACAGGATCATATGAAGAGATGAAGAAACCTTTATACACGGTGATGAATAAAATTAAGAAATCTACAGTCGATCTGATACGCTGACTAAAGCCATCTCTAGGTCAGTCTAAATGGTTTAATCTAATACCTAAAACTAATAATCCTAGGAGAATTTGTGGCACTGTTAAGCTTCATAAACCAGGTTATCCCATCACACTCATACTTGACTTCAGAAATACCCCAACATATAAACTAACAAAGTACTTACTATCGACATTATGTTCTATTATGAACCATTCAAATTGCAGACTAGTAAACTCTCACGATTTAAAACTGAGGCTTAATGACCGAAAACATGAAAGAGGATGCAAAAGTGATTAGCTTCGATGTGAGAAGTCTTCGTAATAAAATACCAATCAATGTGGCACTGGAGGCAGTCAGAAGTGAGTAAAATAACGTCTAGTGTTGAAGATTTAGTTGACAAATCGTAGGTGCACATAGTTGCTTTTAGATAACCGAAAGAGGCATCTATCTTCATCTCAACTTTGAAGTACATTACGTCTACACATCACCTTAACATTCATAGACTCATATTTCTTAAAACGCTTGGATTTGTCACTCAGTCTGATGATTTCCACTAGACAAAAGAATTTCAGTGAGGTTGTTTTGTCAATGATACATGCGTCTCATCTATATTAATCCTATTTGTATTTGTCTCAGTCTTAAATCACTGTTCAAACGATGGATTGAAATTCATCAAATGCCATCAGGTTAATGAAAGCCACAGATCAGCGTTTCCCATCTTCAAGTAATTTGGTTGTGATAACTGACAGTAAGTCAGTTAGTGGTTTGTAGAGTCAACCAAGATAAGTATAAGCACAAATACTCATTGGTAGCATTGAAAGGTGATGTTGGCAAGCATGAATCGCTCGATTGCAACGTGATGCTTGAATGACAGCAGGTTCAGTAGCAGATCTGATGGTCATCAGGTGAACTCCTAGTGGATTTATAGGTGCACAACACTGAGTAGTCTCAAACTAGGACGTAACAACTGCCCAGCATTCTAACTTCCACATTGCTTCATCACCTAATGCCAATCAATGATCCCTCAGAAATGACCAAGAGAACAACCAAATTCAAGTCTATGATGGTTGTTTGTGTTTGACAGTTACAAGCATGTTCCTCGCTTTGTCACCTTGTGCATCACCACCTAACATTTATCAGATTAAGTTGTAGAAAGAAATTTCAGTCGAGGCTACAGTAGCTACATACTATTTCCAGTGAGTGAGCCAATAAGCTTTTCAGCACACAGCCGTTAACTTTGAAGAAGTTGGATTTCATTAGGTTTTGAGGCGTAAAAGTCAATAGGCTGTTCAAATACTGATGTGTAAGTTGATAGGAAAACATTGGATATGAGAGTCGTTGAACGTATAAACCATTTGTCTACATAAAAAGTGTTACATAGCTTTTGATATTCTTTCTGTTCAACCTACAATACAAAAGATACGTATGAAGATGCCAGCAGTATACTTACCTTCAGCTAAAAATCAGAGAACAACTCAATCAGTTCGGTGTAAAAATGCACAAATAAATGAGAAGAACTAATGTTGTTTTATTCAGATATAATTTTCCCTAATATTTTTCATCTAGATGAGTAGAGTTTCAGAGTTTTGAAAACTCTCATCATGTAAATTAGAACAAGACATATAAGCTAACAATATTGTTTCCAATTAGATCCTCCTCAGGCTTCACTCTAATACAAATTGCTCTATGTATGATATCACGAATATTTTAAAGTAACGATGGTGTTGATAATAATACAAATAATAATAATAATAATGAAATTGATGAAAGTGATAAGGTTGACTAAAGCACATGCAATGCAGATGGTAATGATGAAGGGAAGCAAGAAAGCAGCATGAAAATGCACACACACTCCGATCATCAGAATGGGTGAAAAGCTTGTGAAAGTAAAATTCACTTAATAGTGAAGGGTGAGGTGAGTGGATAAACAAAGCCTAGACAAATACAGTGAGTATACGAAAGTGGTGAAGAATAAGGAAGGGGGTATGAAGGAAAAAACTGAATGATGAAGTTACTAACTAAGTATTCCCTGGTCAACAGATATACAAACTTCTTCTGAATACAAAGACTAAGATTATTAACTCGAATTCCCACAACTTGTGCTATGTGTAAAAGACGAGTTCGAATAGCTTTTGAAAGATGAGATGGTATGCGATGAATAGTCGTGAAGGCATTGTTCTTATCCACCGAGTGACCACTATCAACGAGATGAGATAAGATAGACCTTGCTTCTGATGTATTTTATCTGTCCCTTTGCCAACCATGAAGGTAGATGCTCAGCAACACGTTTGTTAAGTTGTCTAGTAGTAAGCTGTATAAAGCTTTGTCCACAGGAGTAGCTCAACTTGTCAATGAATACACATAGAAATGGCCAAACTAGATAACTTATGTCTTGTGTGAGCAGTAACAATTGGTCGACTGTGAAATGATGGAGAGAGTTGTGCAGCGTAGAAAGTCTTCTTAATGGGTCTAGAGAGAAATCGTGAACAACATTCGGATTTTAGACACCAACATCAAGTGAAATCAGTCCTCCATGTGATGCTTCAGAAACTTGGTGTGTTACCGAAAGCATTGACAACAAACTGCAGACATTCATCAATAGCTGCCGCCTACGCTCACTCGATACTGACACTGAAGATCAGATGAGAAGGCCAGAATGATAAGGATAGTCAACAAGGAACTCTGGCTGTCTGGCTGGCTTGCATCGAACCAACCAGGAAGCTATCAGCCAACAGATATGCAGAGGAAGAAAGTGGAGATGGATTGGACTGGGCATACACTGAGGAGATCATTTGTGGGTATCACATCACAGGCCAGACCGTCGAGTGGAACCTGAATGGGAAACGATGGGTTGGGCATCCGAGGTGAGGGTGACATGGAGGAGATGATGTGGGGAAGAAATGAAAGGTTGTGTGCAGTGGTGGAGCCAGGTTGAAAATACTGGAGAGAATAGAGTGAAATGGAGATGTGCTGTTTAATCCCTATTTTGCACTAGCAACCCAAGGGAATAATAATAATAATAGTGATAATAATATTTGTCGTATATACATGAAATCTGTTCATGACAACATGTTATGCAACACCTTCTCTTCAAATATATGTATTCTATAAATCGTGATTACATAAGGGAAATATCATTTAATTAGGCGTCCTCTGTGTGTTTACTTCACAACGAGTTGAATTCATTTGGCGTAGGGCAAGTCATTCATGCTTGTTACGTGTATGTTAGTTAGCTTCACCAGTTAATAGACAAATAACATGAAAAGTTCATTGACATACCGTTGACATTTTGAATTGAGAATAGTAATAATGTAAATAGGATAACTAAATTATTATTAGTGATGAATTCCATGAGAGAATTTTTTTGAAAGAAAAGATACTTGAATGTTGTGTGGTAAACCATCTGTGGATTTATATAACATGTCTGATTCTATGATGTTTAGTCAATATTTACCAGCCATGTTTTGAGTAAATGAAATCTGATCTAAACAGACATTTGTTTATTAATTGAAGTGAGTGATTCAACAAATTACACTCCCTTCATATACTCTTCACTTGACGATATATGTCATTTGACTGGTCTAGTAACTTCTTGTAATCGAATAAACCTTTCGTGGATTAAAACAAGTCAACTTGTGGTTCACGGATAGGCGCATTAGACAGTGAGTGAGTGAGTGAGTGAGTGAGTGAGTGAGTGAGTGATATGTAGAGATAATTTGCTCAAACTGTACTAGCTGATTTCAACAGGTAAAGTGAACCAATATCGAAAAAGAAAATCGTCACATCTACATCACAACAGGAAGTGGTCAATATGTGTTGATAGGAGTAGACATTATTTCTTCTTCTCTACATTAGAAATGTGCTTTGACTGAACTCATAGGAATTTTGTCAACAGTAATGATGAATGGTGGTAAGCAGAGGAATCTAGGACGCACGTTTCCTTCTATTTGTGACTCGTCAGCTGGATACACCTACTTTCCTGCAGGTGATTTTGTCCCAAACAAGACCTAAAACTAGGACCCATCTCTTCAAACACCACAGTGCTATCCACTCGTTCACTGATAGCCAATCCTCGTGAAGCGTGGATCATGGTCATTTGTTGATGCAAACACAATATGATGACTGCTTTGAAAGAAAAACGGGAGTGTACAGCTGATCAATAGTAGATATTTTTAGTTCTCACTTTTAAAGAACATGGGATGGATATCAGTGTTGCCTTAGTTATCAGCTTTCATGTTAGCAGCTTCCTCTACTAGTTTAGTGTCAACATCAGTCAAGCTTTTAAAGTAGACGTAGACTTTGGCAAGTGAAAAAGTTAGCCAATGGGTTACCATTTCAGCAAAACTTAACGTCAATCAACTTATGCAAGTGATAACACCTATACGCTGCCCTGCGATTATTAAATCCCACAGGTCTGCATACTGACAACACTGCGGCAACACATTTTCATTTAGTAGGCAACAAACCAGTAGTATACGGCATAGTTAATTGTCAGATATTATTCATCATAAGATATTGAAACAGAAACTTACAAACGGCATGTTAGTCTAAAAATAATTTGTATTTTCTACACCGATTTGTCGTGTCTTGGCAACTGTTATTTGACTCAACTCGTCATGTTCATGAATGTATATACACCTTCTCGTAGTGGTATTCCATTCTCTGACTTACATGGTTTGACGATGACACTGTCACTGTCACTGCCACTGGAAACAACATCATCAACATAACGCTCAGAAGGAAGTCGGCTTCCCAATTTCTCCTCAGCTGGCTTATCTTGATAGACTTGGATATGATTGGGTATTTTTCAATCATCTGTCTGTCTGCAAAAAAATTCGTTTGCCAACCCAGTGACCTGATAGCCAACTTTATTGTTGTGTTTCATTCATTGGTACGTTAGATTAATCGCTCTTTCAGGCGTAATGCGGAATAACTTAACTAAGCGGTGTTGTGGATTTATAGTGAATACAACGACAATAACAAAATGATGGTATTTGACTGAAAGCTGATGTTCATGAAGACATGGGTCAATCTGTCGAGCGATAGATGTTAAGGCAGTGTCTGGCTATGAAGCAATCACTGACAATGTGAATAATGCTAATCAAGGCTTCTTACTGGAACATGTACAGCCAGCCGTGTTGACGCCCTGGAGGAAAGTTGTACTCTGAAGTGATGACCACCAGAATTGTCTGCGAAGGGGATCCACAGTCACCATTCCTTCTCAACTGTTACAGCTGTGATATTAGATATATTAAAATGAGTAGTTACGAATTCAGAGGATTAAAATACTTCCTGCTGCGCATTTGTTTGACTCGTAGTACAGTAATGCCTGATCACATGTTGATATTCATGACGATGATGATAGTCAATGCTCACCGACTTCACCTTACACAGATGAAATTCAAGCAGAAAAATGAACTTCCTCAACGATTTTCATTTTGATAATGCTTTCACATTCGTATGGCATTTCCTACTATACCTTGTTTCCCGGTCAGCTTCGTGTCAGTAACCTCATGGGGATGCATCCATCTGTTAGGGTCTTATTCAAAAATCACTCGTCTGCACTAAATTCATGCTTGATTTGTTCAATGGAATTCTTTTGTTCCGAGTGCTCTCTGGGATTTTAGTGATTCTCCAACTGATGTAAGTTCGTGATGAATGCTACCTTGAAATAAAAATTGTTGTCTCGAAGTATTTACAGTGAAAGTACAAGCGACTGCATATTTATAGTCTACATGTCCACTGATGAAATTGGTACACATGTGTACCTCAATAGTGGACAGACAAATACACCAGTGACTTAACACCCACATGAGCACATACATACAGACATACACACACACACAGATAGATAGATTGATAGACAAGCAGAGAGTCAGATACAGACAAACAGACATAATGCCATATGACAATTAATATAATTGTCTAACGGTGCAAGTTACCACACCTCCTATCACCACATCAAGAGAGGATGCAACGAACTATGCATGAAAGCAGTCTCTGTGGTTGGAAGTCGTAGAAAGGAAGAAGGAGGAATGTGATAACACTGACGACTAACTTGAAGATGATGTGTGCATCACGAAAATCGATTCTCAGTCATATCATGTAATGTCTTCAAGTATCGTGTTCACACACCTATATGAAGTCAAGTGCTGCACACGCGCAGAGTGGATTGTGCCATGCAGATAACGGTTTTCAAACTAACTGAGAGGCTTGATGAATTACCTACCTCACAGATATAGAATTTGGCATTCTATAAAATATACTGAATTACACAAACGATGGTGCATCAGATTTTCCAGTCATTCACAAAGAATTATGTAAGCGTCAATCCATACACTTTGATCGAAGTCTTTATTTACTCAATGGCTAGTCAGTAAATATTGACTATGCAAAATACTATACATGTGTGGTATAAATTGTAGCTGGAATTCAGACATTCAGCATTCAATTAACTTGTGATTGTTCTGTATTGAAGCGGATTTCTAAGAAGAAAATAATTCCAATTTTCAATGGGGAAATTCATCAATATGAAATTTATGGTATTCTTTGTATTGTCACTGTTATCCGTACAAAATGTAAAAGGTATGTCTTTACACTTGTGATGTGTATGTATATATGTCTCTGCTTATTCTGAAAGTCGTTCTATGATATTCAATGTTAGGGGCTGGTCGTCTCGAAACTCACAAGCCTCCATTATCCATCTGCTAGGATTCTCCCTCCATCTCTTGTCTATTTCAATGCAAATGCTGACACAGTCATCTCCTCAGTAGTACACTCACCATTGTTCCTTGAATTATCGAAGCTCTGTGTTTCTTGAGGAGACAGCAAGGGAATGGATTTTATGGGATTTTAATTAAACAAGTTCACTATTATAAATGTTGGTAATTGGTGAACACAGCCTCTGATCTACATTGTTGTCAGCAGTGCAATTCAGTTACAGATTGTTCACAGACACTTTGACAGTACCTTCGGGAAGTCAATCAACCCTTGTCTTTGAATATGTCATCTAACAGAATGAAGGCATTTTAAAAATCAATCATTCGATATCAGACTTTTATCTGATTACCGACATTTTGCTTACAAGTGATTCCTGAGTGTTTATGTTCAATACTATCACAATAATAGTTACACTTTTCATGTTAGTTTACCTGCCATAGTTTAGCGTTCTATCTATCAGATAACCAGAATGATGTAAAGAAACTTTAAAGTTCATCGTGTCACTTAATTACTTGGACAGTTTTTATACCATAATGAGTGGAATATTTATCCTGCAAAATTTATCATATCATATTGACTTTTCCAGTTCACCTTACTCAATCTTAACAGAGAAGTGATCTACATGGTTTGAGTGTATTTGAAGAAGATTGATATAGTCAACTAATTCAGCTTGGAGGTTTGTAGGGACTGATTGACCTCAAGGTAGTATTCACCAATGAATGACATCATTTGAAGTCATAAGGAAACCTGAAAGCACTAAAAAGCTGTTTCATCCTAGCGCTGGACTCGTCAGTAGCACTTGCACTCGCACGATCCCACTCACAGCAGTTGCATCCACGATTATCAGCATCCTCTGCTATAGTCAATGAGTTGACTGTTATGGGTTCGAAGCGCTAATAGTATATGTATATATTCCGAAACGAATATAATACGCGCGCTTAGCTGACAGTTAACTTGGTACGTAAGAAACACTGGCTGCAACCCCGGGACGAATAGAGAGAACACCGAAGCTGGCAGATGGCACAGTCTATATTACTCCGAGAATATAATATACTAACAATGAATCAATACAAAACACGTGAATAAGTATACACATGAAAACTGACCTTCTCCGCAATTGGAGAAATTCGCATAGTCAGAGTAAAAGTTAACCAATCAGCGAATTACATTACAATTGAGGCAGAAAACAGACTATTAGTCATACCACAAAAACGATGTGGGAAAGACACGTTAAAATGTTCAGATCAATCACCATGTTTTATACAAAACTGAGGCATTACAACATTGACGTCTAGTGATGTTAAGCTTTTCGGTACAACTACGAGTCATGCTCCGACACAAAGTAAACAATTTGTATGCCATACTCAGTGGGAAAAAGCAAACTCTTAAAGTGCACCAGAAATTATCTCCTAGTGAAACAAGTCTATCATTGGTAAGCGTTTTTAATCAGCACTTTTAAAATCTTGGTAACAGGTGGTCCAAAAAACAGTAGTAAGTCTTTTACAACCCAATGCAAAAACTGCAAATTTCAAAAGAACAACATTAACCATATATTTGTTATTTTTCAATGAGTAAATCACACAATTTAAATAATTGTACGTCTGATGAGGGATCGAACATTAAACCACTGTCTTCTTCTTCATCCAATGTTAATATGTAATCTGAAGGCAATTTAGCAACTTGTTTACTTAGATGCTTCGGGACTATCAACCATTCGCTCTCCAACTATACTCTCCTCAAATCATATGAAGAGGTGTAGTCACCTAGAGATTGTCATAATCTACCACTGTTCACGTAGTAATCTTTAAAGAATAGGCTGCATGAGAAGTGTATTTTGAATGAAATGCTGCTTCTTGCTAATATAGCTGAAAACTGGCGACACTTATAGACTTCTAAAATGCAAATAATGCGTAATAATAACGACAAAATATCGGTTGGTTGAAAAAGAACTCAAGCAATTCCCATCACATAAATTAGAACAAGTCATATAAGCGAACAATATTGTTTTCAATTAGATCCTCCTCAGGCTTCACTCTGATACAAATTGCTCTATGTATGATATCACGAATATTTTAAAGTAACGATGGTGTTGATAATAATACAAATAATAATAATAATAATGAAATTGATGAAAGTGATAAGGTTGACTAAAGCACATGCAATGCAGATGGTAATGATGAAGGGAAGCAAGAAAGCAGCATGAAAATGCACACACACTCCGATCATCAGAATGGGTGAAAAGCTTGTGAAAGTAAAATTCACTTAATAGTGAAGGGTGAGGTGAGTGGATAAACAAAGCCTAGACAAATACAGTGAGTATACGAAAGTGGTGAAGAATAAGGAAGGGGGTATGAAGGAAAAAACTGAATGATGAAGTTACTAACTAAGTATTCCCTGGTCAACAGATATACAAACTTCTTCTGAATACAAAGACTAAGATTATTAACTCGAATTCCCACAACTTGTGCTATGTGTAAAAGACGAGTTCGAATAGCTTTTGAAAGATGAGATGGTATGCGATGAATAGTCGTGAAGGCATTGTTCTTATCCACCGAGTGACCACTATCAACGAGATGAGATAAGATAGACCTTGCTTCTGATGTATTTTATCTGTCCCTTTGCCAACCATGAAGGTAGATGCTCAGCAACACGTTTGTTAAGTTGTCTAGTAGTAAGCTGTATAAAGCTTTGTCCACAGGAGTAGCTCAACTTGTCAATGAATGCATATCTAAGTGAGAAATATATCTGAATAAAACAACACTAGTTTCTCTCATTTATTAGTGCATTTTTACACCGAACTGATTGAGTTGTTCTCTGATTTTTAGCTGAAGGTAAGTATACTGCTGGCATCTTTATACCTATCTTTTGTATTGTAAGTTGAACAGAAAGAATATCAAAAGCTATGTAACACTTTTTATGTAGACAAATGGCTTATACGTTCAACGACTCTCATATCCAATGTTTTCCTATCAACTTACACATCAGTATTTGAACAGCCTATTGACTTTTACGCCTCAGAACTTAATGAAATCTCTCTAGACCCATTAAGAAGACTTTCTACGCTGCACAACTCTCTCCATCATTTCACAGTCGACCAATTGTTGCTGCTCACACAAAACATAAGTTATCTACTTTGGCCATTTCTATGTGTATCCATACTCGTCATACTCGGTGCAATCAACGACGCGAAAATACAAGCAACATCATATAATACTTTCTACTGTTCATGTTCCCTTAAACTACTCGGCATTTTAAGTAGCATATTGATGGGAAATTCAGCAAATACAAAATGAATTTCGAAGCATCTGTGTACAGGAGGTGCTACTGACTTCTCAATATACTTGGAGAAAGTCTTTCACCTACATGATGATAGGTCTGTCTCTATGATGGAAAGGTCAATCATTTCATCTGTACTGTTTGCAAATCAACTTACCGGAGATTAAATACAACTGAAAATATTTAGAGAGAGAATTTATTAAGAATGTGTAGGTGAAGACTGAAATCCAAGTAAAGAAGAGATTGAGTATTGGACAGTCAATCGTGTGAGTATTGTTCTGCATTCCGTTTAGGGAGTGTAATGTCACTAGTGGTGTAATGGGAGCTACTTATAAGGATGGATATAGGCAGTTTATATAGGAGGGTGGGAAGTGACAAGGATGGATGAGTGATGTATTATGTAGAAGCCGAGTGGATAACGCTTTGGCGTTTGCAGCGACGGCTGCCTATGAGGTTTGAGTCTCGGAGGGAACAACATGACTCACTGGTGTGCAGGTAAATCCAACTGACGAGTATGGATACACATAGAAATGGCCAAAGTAGATAACTTATGTTTTGTGTGAGCAGCAACAATTGGTCGACTGTGAAATGATGGAGAGAGTTGTGCAGCGTAGAAAGTCTTCTTAATGGGTCTAGAGAGATTTCATTAAGTTCTGAGGCGTAAAAGTCAATAGGCTGTTCAAATACTGATGTGTAAGTTGATAGGAAAACATTGGATATGAGAGTCGTTGAACGTATAAGCCATTTGTCTACATAAAAAGTGTTACATAGCTTTTGATATTCTTTCTGTTCAACTTACAATACAAAAGATAGGTATAAAGATGCCAGCAGTATACTTACCTTCAGCTAAAAATCAGAGAACAACTCAATCAGTTCGGTGTAAAAATGCACTAATAAATGAGAGAAACTAGTGTTGTTTTATTCAGATATATTTCTCACTTAGATATGCATTCATTGACAAGTTGAGCTACTCCTGTGGACAAAGCTTTATACAGCTTACTACTAGACAACTTAACAAACGTGTTGCTGAGCATCTACCTTCATGGTTGGCAAAGGGACAGATAAAATACATCAGAAGCAAGGTCTATCTTATCTCATCTCGTTGATAGTGGTCACTCGGTGGATAAGAACAATGCCTTCACGACTATTCATCGCATACCATCTCATCTTTCAAAAGCTATTCGAACTCGTCTTTTACACATAGCACAAGTTGTGGGAATTCGAGTTAATAATCTTAGTCTTTGTATTCAGAAGAAGTTTGTATATCTGTTGACCAGGGAATACTTAGTTAGTAACTTCATCATTCAGTTTTTTCCTTCATACCCCCTTCCTTATTCTTCACCACTTTCGTATACTCACTGTATTTGTCTAGGCTTTGTTTATCCACTCACCTCACCCTTCACTATTAAGTGAATTTTACTTTCACAAGCTTTTCACCCATTCTGATGATCGGAGTGTGTGTGCATTTTCATGCTGCTTTCTTGCTTCCCTTCATCATTACCATCTGCATTGCATGTGCTTTAGTCAACCTTATCACTTTCATCAATTTCATTATTATTATTATTATTTGTATTATTATCAACACCATCGTTACTTTAAAATATTCGTGATATCATACATAGAGCAATTTGTATTAGAGTGAAGCCTGAGGAGGATCTAATTGGAAACAATATTGTTAGCTTATATGACTTGTTCTAATTTACATGATGAGAGTTTTCAAAACTCTGAAACTCTACTCATCTAGATGAAAAATATTAGGGAAAATTATATCTGAATAAAACAACATTAGTTCTTCTCATTTATTTGTGCATTTTTACACCGAACTGATTGAGTTGTTCTCTGATTTTTAGCTGAAGGTAAGTATACTGCTGGCATCTTCATACGTATCTTTTGTATTGTAGGTTGAACAGAAAGAATATCAAAAGCTATGTAACACTTTTTATGTAGACAAATGGTTTATACGTTCAACGACTCTCATATCCAATGTTTTCCTATCAACTTACACATCAGTATTTGAACAGCCTATTGACTTTTACGCCTCAAAACCTAATGAAATCCAACTTCTTCAAAGTTAACGGCTGTGTGCTGAAAAGCTTATTGGCTCACTCACTGGAAATAGTATGTAGCTACTGTAGCCTCGACTGAAATTTCTTTCTACAACTTAATCTGATAAATGTTAGGTGGTGATGCACAAGGTGACAAAGCGAGGAACATGCTTGTAACTGTCAAACACAAACAACCATCATAGACTTGAATTTGGTTGTTCTCTTGGTCATTTCTGAGGGATCATTGATTGGCATTAGGTGATGAAGCAATGTGGAAGTTAGAATGCTGGGCAGTTGTTACGTCCTAGTTTGAGACTACTCAGTGTTGTGCACCTATAAATCCACTAGGAGTTCACCTGATGACCATCAGATCTGCTACTGAACCTGCTGTCATTCAAGCATCACGTTGCAATCGAGCGATTCATGCTTGCCAACATCACCTTTCAATGCTACCAATGAGTATTTGTGCTTATACTTATCTTGGTTGACTCTACAAACCACTAACTGACTTACTGTCAGTTATCACAACCAAATTACTTGAAGATGGGAAACGCTGATCTGTGGCTTTCATTAACCTGATGGCATTTGATGAATTTCAATCCATCGTTTGAACAGTGATTTAAGACTGAGACAAATACAAATAGGATTAATATAGATGAGACGCATGTATCATTGACAAAACAACCTCACTGAAATTCTTTTGTCTAGTGGAAATCATCAGACTGAGTGACAAATCCAAGCGTTTTAAGAAATATGAGTCTATGAATGTTAAGGTGATGTGTAGACGTAATGTACTTCAAAGTTGAGATGAAGATAGATGCCTCTTTCGGTTATCTAAAAGCAACTATGTGCACCTACGATTTGTCAACTAAATCTTCAACACTAGACGTTATTTTACTCACTTCTGACTGCCTCCAGTGCCACATTGATTGGTATTTTATTACGAAGACTTCTCACATCGAAGCTAATCACTTTTGCATCCTCTTTCATGTTTTCGGTCATTAAGCCTCAGTTTTAAATCGTGAGAGTTTACTAGTCTGCAATTTGAATGGTTCATAATAGAACATAATGTCGATAGTAAGTACTTTGTTAGTTTATATGTTGGGGTATTTCTGAAGTCAAGTATGAGTGTGATGGGATAACCTGGTTTATGAAGCTTAACAGTGCCACAAATTCTCCTAGGATTATTAGTTTTAGGTATTAGATTAAACCATTTAGACTGACCTAGAGATGGCTTTAGTCAGCGTATCAGATCGACTGTAGATTTCTTAATTTTATTCATCACCGTGTATAAAGGTTTCTTCATCTCTTCATATGATCCTGTTCGGATATGTTCGTCAATTTTGTTGAAGTAATTCAGTTTGTCCATAACTACTGCTGCATTGCCTTTATCAGACTTAACAATTACCGTATTATTGCCATTCCGTAGATTATCCAGAGTTGAATTTTCAAGTTTTGTTAAGTTTAGTTGTCTCCTCTTTCGTCTCTTCAGTGTTAGCACCAAACTGTGCTCTAACCTGTTGAGCATTTGCTGTATCCACCATGTTTAACACTGTTTCTATGCCATGTATGACATCTGGTTTCAGATGACCTATTGTCACCTTGAAGTTGACTCCTTTTTCGAGTACGTTCGTCTCAGCTGAGCTTAGGAGGAGCTTCTTGAGGAGAGATTGACTACCCACTTTGCTCCATTGATGTTTGATGATGTGACATTTGTGAGTTGATCATTTTCCCAGGAATATGTTTCTTGTATTGACTTGTAGAACTTTTTGATTTGACTGTTTCTGGACTTGTTGAAGGCAGCTGACTTTGCTGTATCTGATGTTTGTATAAGAAATTCGTTGTATCTGCTGCCTGCTGTATTCATCAGTTTACATTTCAGCTGTTCAGCTGAGGGTAGCAGTGGAATCCAGGACGTGCGTCTCTTCCTATTTCAGACTCGTCAGTTGGATTTACCTGCACACCAGTGAGTCATGTTGTTCCCTCCGAGACTCAAACCTCATAGGCAGCCGTCGCTTCAAACGCCAAAGCGTTATCCACTCGGCTTCTACATAATACATCACTCATCCATCCTTATCACTTCCCACCCTCCTATATACACTGCTTATATCCATCCTCATAAGTAGCTCCCATCACACCACTAGTGACATTACACTCCCTAAACGGAATGCAGAACAATACTCACACGATTGACTGTCCAATACTCAATCTCTTCTTTACTTGGATTTCAGTCTTCACCTACACATTCTTAATAAATTCTCTCTCTAAATATTTTCAGTTGTATTTAATCTCCGGTAAGTTGATTTGCAAACAGTACAGATGAAATGATTGACCTTTCCATCATAGAGACAGACCTATCATCATGTAGGTGAAAGACTTTCTCCAAGTATATTGAGAAGTCAGTAGCACCTCCTGTACACAGATGCTTCGAAATTCATTTTGTATTTGCTGAATTTCCCATCAATATGCTACTTAAAATGCCGAGTAGTTTAAGGGAACATGAACAGTAGAAAGTATTATATGATGTTGCTTGTATTTTCGCGTCGTTGATTGCACCGAGATGATTGGTCTCTATTGGCGTATGGTCTCCAGCCCGGATGCCTGAATTTCACTTTCAGATTGTTGATGGATAACCACTACCCATCATTCAAGTATTATGCAATCAGAATAACCTTTTCGAATGAAGTATGCTTGTTTTATAAAAACAGAATATGTTAGGAAGATGAGACGAAGCAATATAAATAATCTAGATATCACTCACTAGCTGAACAGATTCAGTTGAACATCACCCTCCTCTCATCACGATAAAACCATCCTAACACATACTACATCATTCACTTTGATGACACTTGCTGCTCACAACAGATATTCGACATACCTTTTAAGCATACAGATAATAGCCTACAGAATTCGAGCTTCAACTATGTTTTTCACGAAGATAAACAGATAACAAAAGGTGTATTGATCTACATCTTTGTCATCCGCCCTGAGGTATATCAGTAAGAGTCTTCTATTATTGATTTCTGTCATCTTAAGGACATTTCTGTCCATAAATCGACTGATGAAGACAAGTCACTGGAAGATTAGTCCTACTTCAGTGGGATCTCGTGTACGAAAATCCTTCCATCATCTGACAATGGAGAGAGTTGACTGAGTTATGTTTTGTGTGGATGGAAATTCAATTGTAATGTCCATTCACTTATTCATTCCACATTGAAACTGTTTAGGAATCTCTTTAGAAATGCCCTGCCTCACTTTTCACTTTTCACTGTATATGTATTGAAAGGAAACTGCTGCACTGAACAAACTCCTACGAAATTCATGTGATTTAACTTCCTGAAAGTTTTCATCAAATTGTCATCAAGCTCAACATTTACAAACGAGTATTGCGTAAGTTGTAGTAGACACCTGTAGTGTTCGCAGATGATGATAAGTAATGTGTAGATAATAGTTTGTCGGTCTACCATGGTTTTTTACAAACTTATCGTGTGTGGGCTAAATGTATTAGAATCAAAGGTAGTCTACATTACAGACGGAAATCAGTTGTAGAAGCATCAGAAACCTAGAAGTACTGAACAACTCTCTCATCCTAATACGGGAGTTCTCAGTATTGTGCAAACGGGACCTTCACGTTTCGCGGCCAGCACGTTACCACTGCATTAGAATTCAACATGTTTATGTTGAGCATGAAGACATTTGTTGAAATCCATAGTCTTCTCAATGCAACTAAACTTTTGGGAAGGTCTTCCGAGTTAATTAGAAAACCACTGTACATTAAGTATGTTATGCATTCATGGGTTGGATAGACGTCGCACTCCTCAACCGACACCGGTAAATTTTGTTGACTGAATAGGTTTTCCACACAAAAATGACTTCATATTCAAATTTTTGACAGTGAGAGTCCTTCATGAAAGATATCTGATTGTCTTCGATCTTTCATTCTACTACTTCCTTCAGGTTTCTCCCGTTGATGTTGACTGGCGCTTGTTGTTGTTGTCGGTGATTTTGTTGGCCATTTTCATCACCTCCATCTTCTCCACATTCACTTGCAGTCCTGTTCTTGCTGCCCTGCCTCACCTCTTCTCTCAACTTGTTAATTGTCACCTGTACATCTTCGAGTTTGTGTGGTAAGATATTTCACATGAATTGTCATGGTTGGCCAAATCCAAATCATCTTTCGAGGTCTTTTCATTGGTCCAGCCAGTGCATGCCCATCTTCTCACAACTCCTCACGGTTTGCTGTATAATCCAGTCAAGTCGACCACAATCACGAAGATCATGGATGATCGTAGACAGCAGCCTTGTCTTACTCCTTACAGTTTTCACTTCAAAGCATTGCTGAGCTTCCCACTGTGGATTACTCAGCATGTGGTGTCTTCATATGGTTGTTGAATGAGGTTGATAAAGACTAGTGGCACTCCAATTTGTTGAAGCAACTGCCAAATTACTTCTCGGTCGATGCTGTCAAATGAAGGCCTTTTCGAAGTCGATAAGGTTGAGGTAGACAGTTGAGTTGACTGACATTCTATACTCTGTTGTATGATGATGCACAGCGTAGTGTAGTGTAGTGTAGTGTTGCGATTTGATACACACATGATTTGTTCTTCCTGAATCCAGTCAACCACCTTGTTCCGGTGGTAGTTTCGACTCCAGCACATCCTTTAGTCTCTCCATGATGATGCAGCACAGTATTTTCCTTGCGGTGGACAGCAGCATCATTCGTTGTGCTGAGAAATTTCTTTAGCCACTCGATTGGTTTTAAGGGGTAGGGTTGCCAGACATACATACGTCCAACCTTCCTTCTTATCCAGGGATTACAACCAGCTAGTAACTAGTGAACTAGTTAACCAGGTGAGGTTAAATACACCTCCATACAGCATGAAATTCAACTTGTTTGGTATTAACAATAGGACACTCGACTATTCACTTCCTCACACATAGAATAGACAGTTTTACATGACAAGTGATACCTCAGAAGCAGTTGAACTTCACTGCTCACTTCGCTCGTCACTGCTTTCAATCCTTAACACAAATTAACTTTTCAACTCTAGTCATGATCACCACACTTTAAAATCAGTCTATAATTCAACGTTGTTCCTCAACACTTCTTTTCAATGAAGATAATTTCAAAAAAATATTTTTTTCCTTTACTTTTCAATGCCCAGATCATTCCTTGTAAGCATCTGGTAAGTAAAAAGTCTTTTGACTACACATGCATAATTTCATGCATAATTTTTCATGACTGGCTGAAATCATTTGGAGAATTATTAAAAATCTCAGAGTACTGTATAGAACAGTTGATTCGTTCCAGTTTCAGACCAGTCAGTGATACAAACTCACAACTCCGTGAGATTGAACCTGAGACTGTTAGATTTCATGAGCACACGCCACCATTTAGCCACTGGGTCAGAAAACAACAGTTCACTTATTCAAACCTCTGTCAATTTGTAATATGACACTACTATCACCCAGTTTTGTTGTTGTTGTTGTTGTTGTTGTTGGGCATCCGGTTTCATTGCTACTTTCAGACAAGCCAATCTCTGTAAACTTCAAACTGAATTACATGTTAGTCACTACATTTAGGGAAAAGTACACCGTGCATAATTTCAAATACTAACTACGATTTTGTGCTAGATATTTGTATTTAATCATCCGGAAACTCTGTTCCACCCAGATTTACTGCTTGTTAGCACCCAGCTACAAGGCCCATCTATCTGTACGCATAAGAGAACTGGCGTGCCTGTCTTACTTCCGAAGACTCGAGTCACGGTCCCACACTCTTCAAGCTAGAAACTTCACAGCCAACGTGTATTCAGGCTCGAATGACCACCACCTGTAGGATTGGATTAATCAAGTGAATTTTCCACTAGTGGGTAATCGGTTCACCTGTCTATTCCTTCGTCTTCAGTTCTGATCAAGGCTCATCAATCAAGTACAAGACCAACATCAGTGGCTGGCTCACTGTCGGTCAACTGTCGACATCCAACACCGAAGTGAACTGCACCACTGTGTCGCATCGCTCAGCTTAGTGACCACACTGGAAACTTGATCGACAGAAGTCGTTCAGTGCTGAGTAGCACCTAATATACAACAACATCAGCTACCTAATGATGAGAAAATTCCTTAATTAATCGGCATTATTTGAAATGCGAAATTTGGGGCACATGAATTTGCTTGCTGAGGATATGAACATGCATTTGAAGACTACAGTGTCACTCATTCATACGCAGTACTCATAATCCAGTTAATGTCTCTTCATCTAACCTGGTAATTATTAGTGATCAAATCTCTTGTGCTATATGACGTGATTGGATTTTGAACTGCAAGACATTTCTCCTGAAAACTCTGCACCTGTTCAAACTGAAAGTAAGTCAAGTTGAGAGGACGAACAGTGATCACTGACACTGGAAGTTTGTCCCCCTATACAAGAGATCCTCAGAAATGGGAAAACGTGGGCTGTTGAATTTCGATCCATTGACTGGATGTCAACACACTTCCACGAGACTCTCTCTATGAGGTTATGTGTATGTGCTGCTGAGAAGTCACAAGAGACGATGAAACAAATCTTCAATACTTCCAGGTTTTCAATGGTTCTCCAAACCAATTTTAGTAGTCTATGATGATAGATAGCTATTTTAAAGTAGAAATTCAATGGGGGAGATTTTCACCATGACTAACCATTCTCCCTGGCTGCATATTCGTAGTTATAGTTGCAGCGAGAATCTCTGTTCATCGCTGGCTGGCTAAGAGGTAAACACAGAGTCATTGAAAGATTATTTCTAGGATTAGCGGAAGCGACTGGAAAGTCAACTGAAGGCATGTCTCAGAATGTATCATCAAATCGCTTCTACAATTACAAGGTGATTTCATAACAATCTATAAACCAATGAAAGAGGTGGGAGAAGTGGAACAGTCATACTGAAATAAACAGTTACAGAGTATGGAAAAGATATCAGGTTTGAACTGTTCAGTTGTAAATGAGAGTTCAAACTCTGTTTGAAATCTTTGAGTTTGCTTTCTTATTGACGAACATTCTGGTGAAGTTGAATGAACTGAACAGAGTAAAAACTTGTTCAAAACCCCGATGACTGAGATTTCCAGTATACTCTAAATAGCCATACACGATAGTGTTTGGAGATGCGTTGAAACAGAGTGTGCATTGTGCAGCTTATTTGATCAGTTCAACAGTGACAGGTGAAACAGTAAGCACACATGGAGGTAGTCTGAAGCATCAGTTTACCCTCAACATTCTCTCTGACCAGTTGTCGACTGGAGAAGTCATCTGGAGTTGAGCGGATAGAGTTTTCTTCAGTGCTTTTGCAGTCGATTTCTGAGTATCTAAGCCATTATATCTGCTATAAACCCAGTGTTTATGCGTAGTGTCTTCCTTGGAAGCGTAGGAGTTCTTTTCTGGAGGTTTGTAGGCATCACGTTCCTCTAAATCAAGTATCATTTTCATCCTCCTTTCCTCACTCTGAAGTTGTTAATTTTGATTTCCCTATAACCTCCCCACCTTTTACCACTTCTCATACTGTCTAAACTATTCCTCAATCACCACCCAATTCCGTGAAATTATTCACCAATTGAATTTGTGTTTGTGTGGGGATTTAGAGATATTTCAAGTTGGTTATTATCATGCACTGATATCAGTTGGGGGGACATTACAAAAACAACTTGGTAGCAATGGACAGTTGTTTCCTGCCAGCAGTGCCCACTCATGACCCCACCAATGTTCCTCCAACCAATGTCAGTCCATGATCAATACCAACTTGACTTACTAATGCCTTCCAGCCATAATAATCCTGTAACTTTTGAAACCATCCTTTGACATCACTGGACTGAACTAGTAGCTGTTCATTAACATATTTCCTCGTTGTAACTATAGCTAGGAATATACGATCTGGTGAAATGATTTGTAGCAGCGAAGAGTTTCTTTGATAAATTATATTTTATTAGTTTTTTCATGACTGAGTTAGGCTCGTTTAAGCTAATGTTTATGAAATTGAATGAAACGATGCATCCACACACAACGGTTTCTTGACTCACTTGAGAAGTGAGAAGTTTAAGATTTGGAAAGTGGAATGAACTGAGTTCAGTTGAACACCTCTGTCAAGATAGACAAAACATACACTTCACTCTTAATGTGTATCCACTGAAGATAATTCTATGTATTATTATCTGACCCTTGTGTTCCTAGTGGAACCTAGGTATTCAGTAGTGCGTCTCCATTGCACTCTCTCCTCTATAATATTTTTAACTTCGCTGCAGCACTGCCCACAAGCTCTCACTTCTTCCTCACACCATCTCCTCCATGTCACCCTCACCTCGGATGCCCAGGTCGACGTTTCAACGTGTTTCCACTCGAGGTCGTGGCGTGTGATGTATTCGATTGGTCTTGTCAATGCGTGCCAAATTCATCTCCAATTTCTTCCTCTGCATATTTGTAGAGCGATAAATTCTTGGTTGGTTCATCACCAGCCAGTCAGAGTTCCTTAATGCTCATCTTTATCATTCTGGCCTTCTGATCTCAGCTTCAGTAACGAGACAGCATACGCAGTTGTTGATGAATATCTGTAGTTTGTTAAAAATGACTTTCGTAATGCGCCAAGTCTCTCAACCATCACATAGAAGCACTGACTTGACTTGATGTTGGTGTTGACAATCCGGATATTGTTCACGGTTTATGCTGAGTGCAGAAGATCTCCTCACTGATTTCAGGTTAATGCAGGAAGGCCTGTCTTGCTGTATTTCCGATCCTGACTGGTTTTGACGTCCTCGTCTGTGCCTGTGCTGCCTGTAGTTGAACCAATGCCGCCCAGATGGGTGAAACAGACTACTTCCTCTAAGTTTCTCCCGTTGATATATATACATATATACATATATAAAAGAGGGAAAACTAGTGAACATTTATCTTCTTCATGTTACAGCAAATAGAAATGTAGCTACGCGAATTGACTCAGTGTCTATTAACTCCTATATTTATCCGTCAATGACTATATGATTATATGAAGATTACATGATAACTAGTTTTACTCTGCTCACAATGCTACCTATATAAATGACTGTCCTCACTCACTGATGTTTCGGTAAGCTTTTTAAGTTTGGAGATTAATTTCCGGTTGAGTCTTGGGATTCCATTCAGTCACATCGAATAGACATTATCATTAGGACAGTAGTTTCCAGCAACATTCAAGCTATGATTACACCAACAATGTAAATAATAATGACACAAGCGAATCGAGAACTTGAAAACAGACTTTTTCGAGACATCGGATACATCGTCGATTGAACGATAATCAAATCGTCAGGAGTGTGGTGAGAAAATGAGGCATAGTGCCTCCCAAGTCATCACGATAAATGTAGAATTGGAAGTGTCTTCTCTTCATTTTCCGTTCGATTGCCAATGACCAATTTTATGTTGACTAGTTTCAAGTGCTGATCAACTTCTCTGGATCATTCTACAATCTGGTCACGAAGCAGGAATGACTCTGACCAAGTGGCACTTCCTGCCTCCCACCTGAAATCAGAGTCAACTGTCAGGGTTAGCTTTTCAGCTGAGTAAACACAAAAGAATATGATCGGTAGAACTCAGTCAACACTCATGATTGGAAAGTATGAAATCATGTACTTGTGAGTGATCAGTTAATGTGTCTTATCTGGTCAATACATTCAGAAGTTGAGAAGCGGAGAGTTCTTCTCTTCAAACTTATGCATTCGAACCTCCCTTGTTTGATTTCTAAATTATTGGGAGTGAAATATCTGTAGAATACTCTGCAGTAGTGTTGTTAGATATTTCTTTCGAAATTGATGGCCTACACTTGATTCATTTCACGATGAAACTCATAGTGTTGTCTGAAACCAGAGACACCTGTCAATATGCAACACTCCTTTTGTTTCCCTCTTTAACTTGACATCTACTTCACATTATTAATCAATACACTTTCCTCTCATTTAACATGAATAGGCTGAGCTTTTGTTCACATTACGCGGACACTCTCCGTTTTTTTCTGAGGGGTCTACCTAAATCTCTCGGAGGCGACGAAAATAAATGAATAACCTAATTTCACTAATAAAATACTTGATAACTCTAAACAGTTTTCTTCACTTTTCAATTGATCCTTGATGTTCAGTTATGTAGGTGAATCACTTGGCACTCACAACAGTCTCTAGAACAAAGTACAAACAAATATCGTTGTGAATATGAAAGGCGATGTTTTGATCAAGTTGCTTGTGATAGTATAAATTAGACGACTGCTATTGTTGTCGCTGTCGTTGATAAACTGGTGGATAGTAAAAGGGGGATGAATTCTGGTGATTCTAAATTGTAGGGAGAAGTCATGACCGGTGGATGTGAGGATAGTTAATAAATGACGGAATTGGACGAAAGTCACACTATATAGCTAGCTAACTGACAGAAGTGGTAAGATATACTCCATTGGATTTCTCAAGAATCTGAAAGTCCTTTGTTTGACCCCTGACGTAATCATGAAGGAGAGCTACTGAGGACTTCCATAATAGGACGAAACGGTTGTATTGTGCTCTCACATATTCAGTGAATTTTCACCAGATGCCAATCCGAGATGAACAACAACTTCAATCACAAATTTATTGCCTGCATTAGGCTTCTCGTAACAATGTGAATCGAAGCCGCACAATAACTAGATTCCTACAAGTAGATATCCTGTAATCCAACAATGAGATAGCACAGATCCCTGACACTTTGATAGTGGAATAGCTTACTTATCACTTGATATAGGTTATATATGAATAAACACACCATAACTTTTACAAATATATAGTCCATATCTAGTGTCAACTTTTAACTCGATGCTTAATTTTCGTGCTACTATCCAGTCAAATCTTGATCATAATTCATATAAAGAGTAGCTGCTCACCTCTTAATTAGTTATTAAACTGTTCACAAATGTGTCAGACAGTAACTTGAAGTTGTTTATCTTCCTTCCCTCAGAAGCGAAGAAATATGCTAAATCGTTTTATTCTTAATCGCAAATTTATCTGTTAAGTATTGTATAAGTGTACACTAAGCAGGATTTCAAGTTGAATGCAACGAGGGTGGTGAATTGTTTTCATCCTGAGACATTCAAACATCACTGCAACCTGTGAAGTTCAAATTCTATATTACAAGGGGTCCAAACATAACTAGGTGATATTCAGAAGAACACAAAACTTTGAAGCTAAATCAGTTATGCATAAAATCTGTATTGTGATAAAAAGCTTGGTATGGGAACCATTTTGGAATGAAATGAAAAGAGAAGTGTAGTGTAGTGTAGTGTAGTGTAGTGATTGGCTTACTTCATAAGCAAGGTATGCGATGGGTATTCGTTTGCCCTTGAAATGGATCTGACATGCTTAACGCAAGTAGCAGTGTGTGTACGAATTTCAAGTCTTCAAACAAATTAACATGACATGGTATGATTTCCTGTTTTTCTCCCATATCGAATAAAACCCTCAAAAATCACTGTCATCCCTGAGATATCCATTTGAGCAAAAGTTGGAAAAATTGAACAAGAACTCGAAATAACTTCAAACGAATGCAGAAAAGAATCCGTACTAGTGTCATTTAGAGTATTGTAGTGTGTACTATCTGAAAGAGGACTGTTTTGATGAAGTGACTCAAATCATCTCAAAATCAATAAATTTCTACATACCTTCAGTGAAATTATAATCAAGTATTAACTAGTGAATCAACGTACAAGTAAGTAAGAATTAGGTTGATTGAGGAGATAAAAGCTCAATGAGATTTATATCTAGAAAGGCCTGAAAATAACCAAGACCATTGTAATATATATAAACGTGTAATTTGCACATATTGCTGATGTTGCCACTAACGTTGTTGTAAATACACCTTGTGTTGTTATATTGATTTTGGTGAGTAGCAGAGGAATCCAGGGCACGCTTCCCATTCTATTTAGGACTTGTCAGCTGGATGTGCTTGCAACCTCGTGATTGATGTTGTTCCCACTGAAGCTCGGTGGCTCAGTGGATAACGCATTTGGCGTTTGAAGTGAGAGGCAGTGGGTCCTAGCCTCAGTGGGAACAACATCAATCCCTGAGTTACAGGTACATCGAGCTGACGAGTCCCAAGTGGGACGGACGCGCACCCTGGATTCCTCTGCTAGTCACCAAGATCAATATAACATCATGAATATCCAACAGTATTGAGGCATTCATATAAGAGCCCACCTGCCAACAGAGATCGAGTAATTCGACACCATATAGCAATGGGAAATTACAAGCACCATTGCAACACCTGCAGTCACATTACCGCCTTCTCCTATTACGGAGGAAGTGAGCGACCACTATGGGTGGAATCTGAAGGTTACATTGTTCAAGCGTCCACATACACATATAATTCAGGCTATATTAAGTCACTGCAAAGATATAAAAGTAGTGACAAGGATGTACGACAATAGACTACTTTATCAAAGACGAGAAGATGGACACGAGAATTGTCTGCAAGCCAGCTCCACTTCAGACATCATATCTTCTAAAAACCAGCAGATAAGTGAAATACCCAAATCCATCCAAATTCACAGGTCACTCACAGTGACTCAGGTGGGTAGAATCAAGTCGTCGGGGTAGTACACTCTGCTGACTTTGGCGATTCATCGCATGGTGGAATACCTCATCATTCAGACCAACTACACCCAGATCACTCTGACTCAAACTGGATACAACATCACAAGTTGTCATCTACAAAGCTGAAGCTTCCTACAAACAGAACCGAAACAGTATGACACCACTACCTGCTCTAAACTGAATTCGCTTCACTGAGCTTGGCAAACTTGTGTAAACATTTCAGTGTCAAACATCTCATGGTAACGATAAAATGCACACAGCTGGTTACCATGAACTTAAAGCATTCTTGTAAAATCAGGACCATACAACATTGGAATTCCACATCTAAAACCATCGAATATGTTTTTGCATATACTTACCGGTGTATTGTTGTGAAGTGAAGAGGAGAATATTCACCAAACACTCTTCTTCCAAGTGAAAACCAATCATTCTGCTCATTTTCAACTGCAATTCACTTACTTCAAACTACACCACAACACAGATTCAGTAGAACAGTATTAAGGAATAATTTGTCACGATCCAGAGAAACTTTACTAGGGAATCAAAATATTTCACTGTACTATCAATCTGTACTTCAATTAAGAGGTGATGTGATGTGGTGTCTAGAAAGACTGACACAACCTTCATTGGAAACCGCACATACATAAAGCCTTTCCCAGTCAATCACTTTGCTCAGGAGTTTCTCGGAAAAACCACGTGAATCAACGTGCAAGTGTTGGGTTGGTTGAAGAGACAAAAAATCAATAGGATACAAATCTCGAAATACCTGGAAATAGTCAAGTTCATTGCAATACACATAAACCTTGTAATTTGCATATGTTGTTGACGGTACCACTGATGATGTAAATATGCCTGTTTTACTGCCACCTTTTCCTATTACACAGGAAGTGAGCAGCCACTAAGAGTGGAATCTGAAGGTTATATTGTCCAAGTGTCCACATATACATAATTCAGGCTATATCAAGTCACTACTAAGATATGAAAATTAGTGACTTACTTTGCAGTCGACTTCTCAGAGTTTTGATGATAAGACGTTGTCCTCTGTGTGTGGAGTCAGTTGGTTGGAATATTAGGATGGAAAATCACTGATGACATTGAATGACTCGATATCACGAATTGATGGAAGTCGATCAAAAAGCAACATTGGGTTCCCACCCAATGGTTGAATGGTAACACACTCATCACAAGATATAACCCCTCCTGCCTTGACCCCACACTAAGTTGTGGCAGCATTCTACTGAGGATTATCAGACTAGGACGAATCGCCTTCCTAGTCCTCTCTTGGTTTCAATCCATCTCCGTGATCAAAAGCTACTCCGTAATCAGTCAATTCTCAACTAATTCTCAAAATGAATCACTTCCACTCATTTCAACTTTACTCACAGAAAAATATAAGGCAAGTTATCACACAACAAGAATAACTAGTCAAAACATCTGAGTGTAGGCGATGTGTGTTTCAAGAAGCTTCTCCTCAATGAACCATACTCTACTAATGATATTATAATCATTGTTGAAAATGAAAATAGCTGGAAAATCGAAGTACCCTTCGGTTAATGACATCTCTCTATCAATCCGTGATTAACCATATTCAGTCATTCAAGATGATAAGAGTATATGAATGTGAATTCACACTTAACTGCATATTCTCGGTATAGAATCTGCTTAATAGTTATCGGCTAGCATATCCAACATCCAGGTAACTGATGAAATAACCAGAAATGTAGTTCTCTAAAACCCACAATAAGTTGGCAAATTACATAGTTCACGCTTATCAAAGACGAAATTCTATCACAGAATATATTGAATAGTAGACTTTTATTATTCAAAAGTGTGAACATTCTTCGCTTTGGTGGACACCGATGAAATTTGGATGAGATAGTGAACAAAGTTCGTGGAAAGCTACTAGTATTATGCATTTCCTCGACTTCTGAATAATTATCATCAATTAGGAAGTCGTATAATCATGTTCTCAAGTACTTCATCATTCCAACATAAAACTACCCAGATCATTAGGAAAACCGTTTAATCCTTAAACCATTTCACATGTTGCTTCGTAGTTTTGTGAAATAGTGCGTGAACCTACATGTAAATATCTCCTGGAAAGGTGTTGAAATAGTTGAGGTCATTGTGAACATATATAAACTGTTGTATTTTGTGTATATTTCGACGTTGTACTACACATTTTGTTACCTTACCGCCTTTTCCATTCACCGACGAACTGAGTGACTATCAAGGGTGAGATATGAAGGTGGCTGTTTAAGCATCCGCTCACACATCTAATCACAATATATCAGATAGCTAACTGGATTCGCCCCCAGAAATTTATTAAGCGAATCTAATTTATGGAATATAAATTAACCCATTTATTATTTCACTACTTCCTCTTCATATAAATGACTTACTCCTTTCCATGTCACACTGATAACTGTGTGAACCACTAAGCGTCTTCTCTTCAACAGAAAATCCAAAGCTAAATTAATTTATCTGCTTCA